TTTTCACTTTTCATTTCTTTAGTATAATTAAATAATAATCTCAAGGACCAAGAAGAATTCCAATTTATCATTATATAGTTTATATTTATGACAATTTCAGATATTTGCTACCCCAGAAGTTCATATTGGTTTTCATCCTGATGCTGGTGCTTCTTTTTACCTCTCGCATCTGCCAGGACATCTGGGTAAGCTTTCAGGATTGAGGGCTAAAACATACTTTAGTTCACAACAACATTTAACTTTCTGTAGTATGGTCGATTGGTTTTGTCTCATTATTGTTATTATTAGTGGTAGTAGTAGTCGTAGGAAGATTTTCATATTCATTTACTATGTATTTTTATATCTAACAACTAACCTTTAATTTTTTACATAAATATCACCTTACAGATGTGTCCCTTTTTTCTGCTTTTCTGCAAACTGAGCATTTTATTATATTCTTTGCAGGAGAATATTTGGCTTTAACGGGTGAAAAGCTTAATGGAGTTGACATGCTTGCTGTTGGCCTTGCTACCCATTTTGCCATGAGTGCTGTCAGTCTCTATGGTCATTAATTTTTGGGGGCATTTGCATACATTCCACATAATTCTTATGTATTTACGTATCTCAAACATTCATATTTATGAGCATGCCACTCAATTATTTTGCATCACATCAAACATATCACCATCATTACCTATTTGGAAGTGAAATACACCTTTCCATGTATTCATAGGTTTATGACACCAAGGTATTATAATTGTAAATGTCAAACTTGGAGGTTAGATAAGTAAATACATATGAAATATGTGGTATCTATGTAAGTTTCCCTAATTTTCACTGTTCATACTCTCCTTTCTTTGCTCTTAACTTAGTGGACCGTCAACAGAAGCTTAGTTGGGTTGATGAACGACTTGCGAAGTTGGTGACGGACGACCCTTCAGTGATTGATTCTTCTCTAGCACAGTATGGTGACATAGTCTATCCTGATAAGAAGAGCATAGTTCATAGGTAATAACTTCTGCTTTTCCCCTAGTTTTTTTTTTTTGTAATATGATCCATGACATAATGAGATCTTTAAAAGCCTAATTGTTAAATATCAAAAACTTGTGCATTGAATGACAAGTTTGGAAATTTTCCTCAATAGTTCCCCTAAATATCTAGAATTTCATATTTAGAACCTGTTTTAGCCTCGATTATGTTGAAAATTATTCATGAATTTCCATATTATTGCTTGATGCTGCAATTGCATCAGTGGATTTTGGAAGTAGCCTTAATCAGTTAGATGAGTATTTTAGTTAATTCCTAAAATTTTAGATGGAACTTTGCTGCATAAGTTGTCAGCTATAGATCTGTGTTGAATTGTTCTTTTTTATGCATGGGTGAGAGAAACATATTATTGAATGAGTGCAATGAAATTGTAATTTTCAAATGTTTTTTGCTGTATTTTAAAAATGATAAATAAGCATTAATTTGATTTTCTTTAACACAAACTAAGGTTTTTGTTTCTGTTTGTCAGGATTGAAGCAATCGATGATTGTTTTCGGCGTGAAACGGTTGAGGAAATTGTTGATGCTTTGGTGAGCTCTTACGTTAATCAACTTTTTATTATGTTTTGTGAAATTTTCAGGCTTCAAAATTTTTCTTGCCATTACTTTTAAAATGATTTAGTCGATATTCTATTCATGATTTTCGTTAATGACTTTAAAGACCAATCGGCTCATAAAAATCTTCATTTTGCATCTGTCCCTTAGATTTGGCTACATAAACTTTTACTTGCCTCTAAGCATTATATACTAGGAGCATTTACATACATACCATCCCAATTCCTATGTATCTACATAGCTAGCACCTAAACTTTGCATTTTACATCTATAACACCACCCAAATTTTTAATATTAAATCAAAATTATTACCATTTAAACTTTTAAAAAGTGAAATATAACTTTTCATGCATTATTAAAATTGCATATATGTAAAAATTAAAGTTTAGGTGTTAGATGTGTAAATACATCAGAATTGAGTGATATGTATGTAAATCTTCTTATATGATAAAGCTCTTCCCACTAGGGCTATAAAAAAGCTCGTTGTTTGCAAATCACAAACTCGTGTTTGGCTCGTTAAGTAGACGAGTTGAACACAAACAACCCTTTGTTCGCTCGTATTCGGTTAATTTTAGCTCGAAATAAATAAATTATATGTATTATTTATATAATAATATATTATATATATTTATATTAATGTTTAACAGCTCGTGTGTTTATTTGGTTTTTTGCATTTTAAATTATAACAGCTCGTGTGTTTATTTGGTTTTTTGCATTTTATTGCACAAATTTGGTGCAGGTTTGAATCCAACACTCTACATCTATTTGTTTTAATTAATTTTAACGAGTCAATGTCGAGCAGAATACGGGCTGAAGATGAACAAAAATATTTAAATCGAGCCGAATACGAATACACAGTCCACGAGCTGATTTCAAACACAAACAATTTAGAACGAGCCAAACAAGAGCCAAGTTTGAGCTCACTCAAGCTCGGCTCGTTTACAACCCTACTTCCCACCATTTTTTGGCTCATTTCAAAATTATGCGCAACCTCTCCACACTGTTTTGCCTATAATGCCTGGTGGTTGATTTAACTATCCATGTGTTTTCTACGATATTTTTTTGTCTTACCAGAATCAAAGATTGAATCTTTCCTTATTTAGTAGAGAGAGTTTCTTCAGTTATAATTTAAAAATTGCAAATATCACACCTTTGACCTGCCGAACCTATTAGTAATTTACAAGACCTTCTGGCTAATGATTTCAGATCATTACTTTTCTACTGTTTTCTCTCTTAAAATCCCAGGAAATCGAGGCAGCCAGAACCAATCAGGACTGGTGCACTTCAGCTCTCAAGAAAATAAAAGAAGCATCACCGTTGAGTCTGAAAGTCTCCTTAAAATCTGTAAGTCCCTGAAAATTTCCTTCCAATGCAATGTTGGAAAAATAAATAAATATGAGGGCCTACATATGTAATTAAATATGCATTATATGCTATTTTAAAATTTAACAATCTAATTAAGCTTAAAGAAATACTGTTTTGAGTATAAAATAGAATATGGAATAATTATGTGTAGAGACATAATTTCATATTTGTAATTATATTATGGGCTAAAACATAACTATGATAAGATATATTTTTCTATAATCACTGCTGATTGCTTTTATAAGGTACGAGAAGGTAGATTTCAGACTTTGGATGAGTGCCTAATTCGAGAATTTAGAATGTCTCTACATCATATTTCAAAGGCTGTTTCTGATGATTTTTGTGAGGTAAATAGCACATATTCTGCTATAAAAAAAAATTTCTGCCCATCATTCTTTACTGTGCCATAATTATTTTTTTTTTGTCTTGTTCCATGTAGGGTGTTCGGGCTAAGTTGGTGGAGAAGGACTTGGCTCCAAAGGTAACTAGGCATCATTCTCATGTTGTGGAGCATAGTTTTTGAAATAAAATATGTTTAGTAAGTTAAAACAAAAGATGATTGTTTTTATAAAAGTTAAAGATAATATGTTTTGACTGTTCTTATAAGCAGCATGATTTTTTTTAGAAAACACACTGAAATGATGTATTTATGCGTGCCACGGTAAAATTATTGAGAATTTGATAAAAATGAAAGATATGGGTTGGGCTTTTACCATGAATTTGGATATTTGAGTGAGAATTTGAAAAATGGATGGAAGAGGGCGGTTGATTTGTAAATAGGATGTTTTGAGTGGTCTGTATGTAATTACCCCTCTAAATAATCTGCTGAATATATTTTTCGAAAATAAAAGTTAAGAAAACAAAAAAATAAAAGATAAAAGTGTTTGTATTTGCCGATCTGCATAAACTTTTTCTTATAAGAGTTGGTCTTTACCCATAGAACTAATGACTTAGACTTGTAATATTTCACAAACAACATCTTAGTGAGATTCTCTAGTTGTAATAAGGTATAGCTATCTATTGAATAAACTTCTAAAAATTTTGTGGTGTTTACATGCATGCCACCCAATTCCAATGTATTTATGTATCTATCATCTAAACTTTACCATTTTACATTTCTATCACTCAGATCTTTTGCATCACATAAAAAGAAAAAAACACCACTATTTTAGCTTTTAAAAAGTGAAATACACATTTCCATACATAAAAGTGTTAGCCATGGTAAATACATAAGAATTAAGGGTCCGTTAGGGGCGGCTTATTTGGTGCGGTGGCGTTTTGAAAACGCACCTGGCCTGTTTGGGTAAATTGTCTTTTGGCAGCTTATGTGTTTTCAATGTGTTTTCAAAATGCTGAAAAAAATGCTGAAAACAACGTTTTCACACCGCACCTGTCTAGGTGCGATGACAGTTTTCTGACTGCGATCCGCCCTTTTCAAAAAAATAAAAATTTGTAGTAGTCACCGCACCTAGCTTATCAGCAGATTATTCAATAAGCTGCAGCTGCCCCAAACAAATTCTAAATGATATGTATGTAAAATTTCCTAATTGTTTCTCGGTACCCGCACCCATCAAATATCATCTTAAAACCCACGCATCATTTCTAATGCTTGCTATGTTTGTTCCTCATACAGTGGACTCCACCAACCCTACAGCATGTGTCAGACGACATGGTTGACCACCATTTCTCGCCGCTCGACGAATTCGAGCCCGAATTAAAGCTACCGACTCATTTACGAGAAGCCTTCATATGACTCAATTCAATATAAGTGCTTCCATCATCTTGAACTAATGAATGCTTCAACTTATTTGTGATGTAGAAAGTTGTCTCATTGTTGATTCAGAATATATAATCATCTCCAGCGGCAGCAATAAACAGCCTTCTTGGTATTTAGAAGCAGAGGTGAGTTTTGTTATGTAACCCACCTATTTTAATGGATTCTTCACTTTGTTGTAATATCATTGCCTTTTTGAGAATAACTCGTGTTCTTTCTTTTAGTAGCAAGCGAGTTGAACATGAACTATTCTTTTTATCTTGATTTATAAATGAGCTAAACATGAATAAATTTTATTTGATCTTGTTCGGCTCAAATTTGACTTAGATTAATTAAATAATTAAATAATAATATTATTATATTAATTGTTAATATTGTGTAAATTATTCAAGCTAATTTTGAGTCAAACATGAAGTTTAAATTAGGAAATAAATTTGAATCTGGCCAAACACAAGCTTGTTATTAACTAGTGATTCTAACACCAATTCTCTTCGTATGAGCGGAATATGATCAAACACGGAACATGCCCAAGGTAGGCTCATTTGCACCCTTAGTTTAATGTACATGTGAAGTAGCATGCATATAAAATTTAAAATTTAGGTGTTTGACATGTAAATACATAAGAATTGAATGGTATGCATGCATGCATGCATGGATGTATGTATGTATCTATGTATTGATGAATAACATCAATAATGTGAGAAAGTATTATATGCAGCGACCGAACATCCAGACGATGATCTAGATGGGCTATCATGTGATGCATGGCCGTGTGGCTACATTTGGATCCTTGTCCAAACATACGGCTAGTTGCACGTAGCACGTAGCAATGAGCAGTTTCTCTCACCTGCTAAAATAAGTGGGATGAATAAAATTAGAAACATTTACATACATACCACTCAATTTTTTTTATATATTTACATCTAAATATGTTACCTTACATATTGTTTGGTGTGGTATAACTGTAAAAATTAAAATTTAGATGTTACGGAATAGGACGGTATGTATGCAAATGCCCCATAAAATTAATTTATTTCCCCTGCCCGAGCCCACTTTAAAGCCTAGACAAGTTATTTCATTGTTTACTATGCATTTTCTTTTATGTTATTGATTATTGTGTGTTGGATACATATGTAAAAAGAAAAGAAAAGAAAGCCTATGATATATTGTTATTTTTTATTATTGTGTTATTATTGTCGTCGCGGTCACCTAGATTGGAGCTCGAAAGGTAGACTTTTAGGGGCAAAATAGGTAATTTTTAAAATATTTATTTGGGGAAGCGCGAGTATCTGTTTAAGGGGAAAATTAAGTACCTCTTTGGAAAAAAGAGGAACCGTTTGGAAAAATATTGTTTTAAAAAATGAGGAATTTAAAATGCCTGCTCGTGGGAAAGTGAGTATTCATCCATGGGTAATCGAACGTTGTTAGGGGAAACAAAGTATCATTAGGGAAATGTTAGTTTATGAGTTAACCCTTTTGTGCAAGTGCGTTGAAGGTCTATTGCATCTTTTAGGATCGTAAGTTAAGTTTATATTTTTTTGCTTCCGTGACACAGTGTTCACAGTGTCTCAGGATATTGATTAGCTCGTCTCTTATGATTGTTGGGAATATTGACATCCTCCAGTGCGCCAAACAGAAGTTGATGTCGGGAGGTGGTTAGATTTTTGGGTGAATTTGCATCCTCCAGTGCGCCAAACAGAAGTTGATGATGTCGGGAGGTGGTTAGATTTTTGGGTGAATTTTGGACTTGTAAATAAGAAATTTTTGAAATTTTTTAGCTTAAAAAAAATGTAAAACTTTTGAAATATAAACTCTTTATAGGCTTAAAATTATTTTAAAATTCAGGCTTTTAAATATTTAGGCTCTTAAGGTTTTAAAAGTTTTAAAATTTTGGGCTATTAAAAATAGGGCTTTTAAATATTTAGGCTCTTGAGGTTTTAAAACTTTTAAAATTTTGGGCTATTAAAAATATAAATTTTAAAATTTTAAAATATTAAGAATTGAATTTTAAAACTTGTGTTCATAAATTTGACAATATTTTGAAAGCTTTTAAGACTTGGGCTCTTAGGGAGGAGTGAAATATAATTCAAATATGAAGTTTTATTTAAAAGAATTTGAAATTAATTGACTCGACGCCACCAAATTTGCAATAATTTGCTAGCAAACAGAAGGTGGTCCCTCTCAAAGCCAGAAAATGTAACATAACATCTAATAATTTTCAAATAAAAAAATTATTATTTCAATATAGCTAATGATTTTTAAAGTCTATATAAACTTCATGTTATTCCCAACTCAAATGCAATAATTTGGATTTGAAAATATTTTGTGAGTCAGTTTGTACTCTCTCGAATTGTGTCTGCTTTAAGAGATCTGTATGGAAAAAAATCTAATACGTGATTTCAAATTCTTTTGTTCAAAATTGTGAATCATAGCTATGGTTTAAGGGTTACACAAGCCTTCCAAGCCTCCAAATTCTGTAAATTGGCATGTGCTCTGACCAATGCATTGAATACTCAACAAAAGAGTTTGAGAACGTTGCGCGAGCTAATCGGGTAGCCTTGTCTATAGAGCAGGGTTCTAAGTCCCACCCCACTAGTTCGACTCTCCTCCTCACAAGAACTGGAGTTGACGAGTTTAGTAAGCCCTAATAAATGTCCAAATTGTGAAATAAAAATTTATAAGTCCAAATCACCAAATTAGTTCAATCATCCTCCTTATAAGGACAGAAGTTATATTTTGAAAAGCTTAAACTGACAAAATTAATTGCCCCTTCACATATAAAAGTTTCAAATATTTAATACTCTGATGATGGTCGAGTTAATAGAAGATTTCAACCGAAGAGATCAATCTTTTAAATCAAGACGTTCAAAATAATCAATTAAATTATACAAGCTAAAAATCCATCACCAAAAACTTGAAACAAATCTCATCTGCCCATCACAATAGTTTGTTGAGGGTGACATTTCTAACAAACTTTAACTCAAAAAAGCTAATATCATATTAAATGTATCATTCTATTCAGAATCAAAGTAATTGCATATCAGTAAGGACGTGACCTGAGTCCACTTTCCATGTTGTTTTGCCGCCAAATGACATCACAAAATAGCGGTTACAACCAGATCCCTCTAACCGTGTGAATGTCACCAAACGGCACCATTATATTAAGGTCACGGTCGCAACCCGTTTATTCCCCAATAGTTTTATACCATTTGAATTATGAATCACGAATATACAATTGATTAGCACAAAGTATTTTGTTAGCTAAGGTCAACTTAAATTTTTCTGCTTGAATAAACATTCACCCCAAATCTATAAAAATCTCTTCGACTTAAATTTGTCGACTTAGGCAAACATCAATATCATATCTACAAGAATCTCTTTGGTGACGCAACTCATGATTGCTGACAAGAATAATTCTGTTGGGTTGGGTCAAATACCTCCTCTAAGTAGACCAGAAACCACGACGGCTCAAGATGACGGAACCATGAGATTTTGATCAGGTCTAATCTTCATTCTCCTACCATCTGCTTTAAGCTTCAAATGATTAATTTTATAACTTAAATCTTGTGTCTGTTGTTATTATATATTAAATATCTAATTAATTCTTATGACTAGCCTTAATCGAAAGTGCCCTCCATTATCGGGAGGGGTAATTAACCATAAGGGTTGTGCCTATGAAAAACCTCGAACACTATATCAAAAATTACTTGCAATATGAGGGCGAAATCTCCGAATAGTGTCTTACCTACAATCCAATCTGCCTTCCAAAAATTTGACTCTCCTAAGCTCTCAACAAATCAAAAAAAAAAAAAAAAAATGAAGAGGGTGGTTCAGTGATCGTGAATTCTCAGAGCCCACATAATCAACTAAAATGCGTCTTGCACTTACATTAAAAATGAATTACTGAGAATAAAACTCATCCTAATCCTAACAAAAAATTTCTCCATTCTTTGCTCTATTGCATCAAGCATTTATATGCGTTCATACATTCACAAAATAAAGGATTATTTAATCAGAATAGCTATAAAAAAAAAAAGAAGAACAAAAAATTGGTTCTCTTACAGCAAATAATGAAAACTAAAAATTAAAAATTTAAAAAAAAAAGGAAAAAGATATTGTCTGTTCTCAGGTTAAGCAGCTAGTTCATTGGGAGGACCATACTCCTGTTTCAAACCACACCAAAAGCCAGCTCAATATTTATAAAAATACCATCTAGTTACTATGTATTTACATATCTAACACCTGAACTTTACTTTCAATCACATAAAAAATAATACCATTTTAACTTTAAAAAAAGTGAAATACAGCTTTTCATGCATGTCGATGTGGCAAGTTTGTAAAAATTGAATTTTTAAGTGTTGGTTATCCAAATACATGGGAATTGAGTGGTATGAATGCAAATCTCGCAAACAAAAATAAATTAGCTGAAATTTTCTAATACCTTGGAGCCAATAGCTGCATTATCAGCAGATCCTCCCCACTTAGTAATGCGAAATTCTGCTAGCATTGCCTGCAGGTTTCAAGCCCAAAATTGATGCATTTATAAGAATATATATATATATATGATTTAATACAGTCATTGCCGGGTCTCGAGCTCCAGATGTGGAAAACAGAGGGTTGCATTGGGTAGTCGACAGTTATCAGAAATTTTTTGTCGAAAAAATCATGACATATGCTCTTTTTAACCCTTCAAGTAACAAAAAAATATAACATCCGGATGGCCTACATCTGGATCAGGTGCGGATACTGTTATTGGAGGTGTTATTGGTAGTATTATAGTGTTATTTTGGTAAAATAACACCACAATACTACCAATAACACATAGATACTACCATCCGCACATGAAACTTACATCAAAACTCCTGATATAATATTTCCTCTCAAGTAACGCGGCCGATGGAAGAAAGAAAATAAGAGTTCTCACCTCTTTCTCCCAATCTCTTCTTAAAGTGATCACAACAAGTATAACAGTCTGCAATGCTATTCCAACCAATGAACCAGCCCACATTCCCTACAAGTA